GGGTACCTTTGAAGAAACTGTTTTAAACATTGAGGAAAGCACGTCTCAGTAAAGAGTATGTGGATGCCATCGCAAATATATACAAAAATATAAAAAGTGTCGTTAAAGAAAGAAACTTTATATCTGAATCATTACAATAACAAAGAGGTTTAAACAAGATGTTGTATATCCCTCCGACCTGATTTAAAATATAATTCAATCATTGCTAAAGCAGTGAAAGAAACAAGTATTTGGAATGGAAATGACGAACAACTTTATTTTTCGCAGATGATCAGGTAGTCGTAGCGAATGATAAGAAAGACATGGACTACATGTTTAGAAAATTGAAGAAAGAATATGAAAAATGGGTCATCAATATGAATATGTCAACGACGGAGTATCTTAAAATAGGAGATGGTGAAGAAGATCCAGAGTTAGAAATTAAAAACACAAAAACATGTAACGAATATAAATATGTCGGATGTATAATATTTAAAGACGGCACTACCAAAAGAGACATCGAAAACAGAACGCAGCAGGGAAAAAAGCGGTAAACATTCTAAACTCTCTACTATGATCTAAAGATATTAGAGAAGAAACGAAATTGACAATCTACCAAACCTTGGTAGATCCTATTATGACTTATGGGGCAGAAGTTTGGCAGATCACGAAAAAAGATAGAAAAATAATAGAAGTAGTAGAAATAGATTTTCTATTACTGGTCACTGTAGCAAATGGTTATTACTGAAGCAAATTAATAAAGATAGATGGCCTAAGGAAGCTTTAAATTACAAACCACAACATAGAAAAAGAAGGGGAGGGCCTTCAGTTGCCTGGGAAGAAAATATACGGCACATAATAAGAGATAGAGCCATCAAAGAAGACGAATGGATGGAAAGAAAACGATGACGGTCGAAATACGAGAAGCGGTAGAGGCTGTAGGAATCTCGCTTATATATATATATATATATATATATATATATATATATATATATATATATATATATATATATATATATATATATAATATATATATATATATATATATATATATATATATATATAAAATATACTTTAATAGGATATTGTTTTCGTTTATATGTAAAACAGCAATTTATTTATCGACACAAAAATCAGAATATTTAATAAATAGTAGATGCGTGAAAAATGAAAAACCCAACTTTTGGAAAGAAACAAAAAGAGGCAGATATAATTTGTTCTTAACAGTATTTGATAAAACTATTCATAAATTTTAGTAACTTACCATTTTATATATGTGCGAAATTACATACGCCATAACACTGATGCAATGACGCCTTCAATATGTATTTTTGTCGGACTGTTAACAGAATCTGATCATTTAGTTAAATAATAGTTTTTTATACTCGCGTAGATTGTTTGCTCTTTTAATAACACATTAGAAAGCAATGATGTGCTTACAAGATACTGCGATATTTGGATAAATTATTTTCCTCTGGTTGAAGTACTCTCTTACTTGGAAAGCTTAATCAGTAGATTATATAATGAAACTATCAAGTTATTTAACAAAATTAGAGAATTTTACTATAATTTTAACAAATATCGTGTTACAAATGTCTAAATTCAAAATATATATCAATATTATTCAGGTTATAGGTTCTAATGGTCCATAATTCCGGAAGCAGTTATTATTTGAAAATATTTTTTTTTTATTTTGGAGATTAGCCATAATGAGTTTTAGAATATTTTTTGTGTGTTTGTGTTTACTACTATCCTCAACTTTTTTCTCTCTTACGTTAATTTTCTATTTTATATCCTCTTTCTTCTAATCTCTAAAGCTAATCTTGATCTGTTTCTTGATCTACTCGTATTACCATCAATTACTATTATTATATAATCTATCTATTTTATTTTTATGTAGACAAGGTCTTCCTATTGGGAAACCGTCTCTTACCATCTTTACTACTCTATTTAATGTTCTTCTGCTTAATCTGATCGTTCCATTCTACTCTTCTATTTCTTACCCAGTTCTTTATATTCTCCACTTTGCATCTACGTCGTATATCTGTACTTCGAGCTCTGTCCCATAGTCTTTTACTATAAATTTTTCTCAAGTATTTTCAGTTCAGCTGTTTCTAATATCCTTTTCCTCCTTTGTGTATCAGGTCGTTTTTTTGCCGCCTATGTCATTATTGGTCTGATGACTGTTTTGTAAATTCTGCCCTTCATTTCTTCCCCGATATTTTAATTTCTCGGTATTGTTTCATTCGGGCAACCTGCGGCTCGGCTTGCTCTGTTGACTTGATCTTCGACTTATGTTTCGAGCTTTCCATAGCTAGATAATGTGATTCCTAGATATTTAAACTCAATCACTTGTTCTATTATCCGACCTTCAAGCTCCAATTTACATCTTAGGAAAGTTGCTCTTATAACCATGCATTTTATCTTTTTTGGGGAAATTAACATGTTAAATTTTCTGGCGGTTATATTAAATTGGTGCAGCATACGTTGTAAACCATCTTCACTCCGAGGGCTTTTATATCTTTGGCCCTACAACCCTGGGTGAGTCTTGGCCTGCTCAATAAATTAGTCTCCATTCCCCCCTATCTTTCACCCTGGCTTTCGAATTTCTGACCCCTAAATTCCTCAAGTCATCTTCGACTTTGAGTTTTGAATCTAGATCTTGTCCTGCCTCTCTTCGTTCATCTTCGATCTTCGTTCATTGAGTATAACAGAAGATCATTTTCATTTATATTTTTTTATAATCTATTGTCAACTTACGTGCAGTATTGGACGAAACAGCATTTTTTGGCTTATAAATTCAATTGTTTAAAAACGCTGTAAAGATTTTTAACCTGCGATAGAAGAAGAAACTTAAAAAGAAGAAGTAATTATAGACGTACTATACCATTACCACATTCACTCACTCCGACTGTCAGCGCAAAACGGTCTTAACTTAATGAAAAGTATCTCTGATAAACAATGGGGTGCCAACTTTCAAACTCTTATGACTGTGTTCAAAACTTTAATTCGTTCAAAATTAGATTATGGTGCTATTACCTACAACTCAGCTAAAGATTCACGGTTGAAAGTGCTAGGTACAGTGCATAATTCGGCAATTAGAATTGCACTGGTAGCGCATAACACAAGCTCAGTTCAAAGTATGTATATTGAATCAGACAAAATATTCCTTTAACTTAGGAGAGAATACATTAGCCTCATATATGCATCAAGAGTATCAGCTATTCCACAGGTACTTGTTTATAAAATTATGGATCGTCTGTTTTATCATCTAGTGAAAGCAATGCTAGACACAATAATTCCACCCACTTACAATATTCCAAAAGTCAGCCAACACATGTTACCATATATCATTGCTTTCCGTGATTGTAATACAAACCTTTCTGCATTCAAGATATGTAACACACTAGCCAAAATTTTCAAAGAGAAAGTACTAGTGATATTAAATAGTTTTAATGATTACATCCCTATTTTTACCAACGCATATATTAAATATAACAGTTCATACCAGCTCCATTCTCAAACCTCCATACTCTCCCATGAACTATTTTCTATACTCCAGGAATTAACGTTTGTCAACACATGTAACATCAAATACTCTCTAATCATTAGCGATTCTTTGAGTGCATTAACAGTCCTAAAGCAATTATACCCCAAACATCCCATCCTTTTCCTAATTAGGGCGAAACTCTTAATATGTCAACATAATCAAAGATTAGTTCAGTTCCTCTGGGTACCTTCACATTGCGAGGAAAGTGGAAATGATATAGCTGACATATTAACCAAAAATGCAAATGAGAATCCGTTAACAGACATCATAACTATCTGTGTTCGTACTGATTTAATAACATTTTAAGAATACATTTAAGCAATATTTTAAAACAAAATTATGACAAAATGGCAAATAAATTGGAATAGCTTAAACTCTACTTTAAAGACTATCAAACAAAGGGTGCTGTCGTGGAAAATTTCTACTAAGAAAAGAGACCAAGTGATCATATCCACATTGGAACTTGGACATACGAAGATATCCCAGGATTATATATTAACGGAGAAACATTACCCTACATATTACAGGTACATTACATTATTGAAGGAATAAAACGTAGAATAGCAATGACTAAAACTACTTTTATGAAAATGAAGTCATTTCTTTGTAATAACCATCTCAGTTTAGAACTAAGACAAAGAATGGTTAAGTGCTATATTTGGTCCGTACGTTTGTATAGTACGGACTGTACTATACGAAAGTATACTTTTGTATAGTAAAGTGTGGACGCTAGAATTATCGATCATGAACAGAATTGAAGCATTGGAAATTTTTGTTCATAAACGAATGCTGAAGATACCTTGGACAGCAAGGAAAACTAATGAAGAAGTACTAAGGAGCGTCAACAAAGATAGAGAACTGCTAAAGACTGTTAAACATCGAAAAAATGTCTTACCTGGGATATATAGTAAAGGGAAGTCGATATAAAATATTACAACTGATTCTTAAGGGCAAAATAGAGGGCCGTAGAGGTGTAGGAAGAAAACAAGTTTCTTGGTTAAAAAACATTCGTGAGTAGACTCAGATATCAAATGCAGGAAAATTATTCCATATTGCAAGATCGAAAAGCCTTCGTAATGGTGATCGCCAACGTCGGATAATTCTGATATGGCACGCGAAGCAGAAGAAGAAGAAGGATCATTCTCCGTTGTGTTATGTGTATGAAGTGAACCAACAGTGCACCATATATTAATAGGCTGTTCTTTCTATGTACTTGAACGACAACAACAACAGTTACCTAATTCCTAAGAATGTTTAAATAAACATAATACATCCAAAATTCTCGATTTTTTGATCCTATCTTACATTTCATGCAAATACTATGCATGCTAATAACCCTTTGTGGTTGAAGCAAATTGTAAAAAAAGATGCTAAAAGTAAAATGTTTCATACATTTATTTTATTAAATGCTAATAATTACAAAATATTTTAACTTATAATACAAACTGTTCACATAATATATAAATACACGCTAATCAATATTTAATTTACGAAAACTACCATTCACACTACCAGTTTCATTATTGTCCATGGCGGGGTTTTTTCTCCTTATTATTCCTCGATCACTGAGCAGTTTTATGTTATCATACGAAAGAATCCGTTCTCTTTTGGCTTCCAGTTCTTCTTTAAATAGTTCCACCATTTCTTGTAAAGGTACAACACCTCCCATCTCTTTAGGTAGACACTGGGTGCCTAGATCTTTTTTGATTTTTTCAGCATTATCATCAAACTAAAAAGTTAGTTTTTATGAACATGAATACATGAATAGAACAAAAATTAAGGGAATGTAAAAAAACAATGAAAGTCGATCAAAAAGACAAATAAATACTAATATTTTAATAATAATAAAATAATTTTTAAAAATATTGACAAATGATATACATTCAGTAATCTGAGAATGGTTTTTGGTACGATAAAAGGAATGCAAATTATGAGAAAGAATGTATATAATGTATGTATGTAAAAAAGTAAAGGTGAAGATAAGGTAGAGAGTCAAAAGTCTGGGAACTATATAAAAAGTTAAAACAGGTTTATTATTAAAATAAAACGAATTATAAGGGGCATCAAAAATTGATCCTATAAATAAAATAACAGAATATAAAGTCACATAAAACATAAAAAATCAAGGAAACTGAAATGATACGAAAATACGAAAAAATTGAGAGAGCTATATAACGAAACAAAAATAAGAAATGTTTAAAATCACAGCTTGGTAAACACATATTAACCCATTCATGCCCAGAATTTCCTAGTGATTTTTTTTGTGTAATATTTTAGTCACGGAACTTCTATGGTACTTTAAATGTAAAAATGGTATTAAAAATCATATCAGTATCTAAGTGCTAAAATGGCAGCCTGGCAACTCTAGTTGCCACTGGGATAAAGCGGTGTAAATATAAGAATAATAAAAAACATTAGTATTTATAGTATTTATTTATTAAATTCTGTTATAACATCAATTTTAAGTGTGAAACACTTTAAAACAGTTGTCAGGGTGTAAGGCAATATCACATTTAATACAAAAATAGGATGTACGATTGCCAGAGATCTTACAACGACGATACTTGGACGCACCTTTCTGAATAATATGATCAGTGTGGTCTTTTCTGAGTTCTTGAAGTACAGGTGAAAAATTCAATGACGTTTTGACTCCAAGTATTTTTGGAAGGGTACCAAATGATTTTAAAAGGTACACTGTGCATTGGCGCCTAAAGTTCAACAATGATATGTCATAACCAAGTCGGCGATATAAAAGCCAACCTTGTACACACGCGACATCTACAGCCCATGAAAAAAAAGGCCACCACCATTTTTTTGATCTAATTCGGCACCGGTAAGAAGCCACGAATTGATCCATTATATCAACGCCTCCCATGTTGCTGTTGTACCGTTCAATAGGACCTGGAATATCGATTGTGATCTTTTTCTTTTCTGCACGAGAATATCTATTAGCCTTTTTCATCGGATAGACTTTGTCACAATTGGTAAGCATTGTGACAACGTTATTATCATTCCAGCGAACTAGCAAAAGATCACCAGACGAAGAAGTAGCCAAGTCACCTCTTTGTTTTTTTTTCCACGCACTTTTTTCTGGAAGTTTCATTGCGGCATTACATCGATTTTCACGTAATGTTCCGGTACCTCCAATTTCTCTGAAACTCAATTCTTGCAACAATGCAACCGACGTAAAAAGATTATCAAAATAAAGTCTATTTCCTTTTTTCAATTGCACGTGATCAATTAAACCTAGAACAACATCACCACCTTGTCCTAGACCAGTTTGAGGAAGGCGTGTGGAAGAGCCACAATACGGTTCAACATGATGGATGTAACCCGAAGGATCGGCAGCTACCCACAGTTTGTACCCAAATCTAATGGGTTTGCCCCTTATAAATTGTTTACTTCCATGTCTCCCGTAATAAGGAATCATACTCTCATCGATGCTTACAGTGGGACCAGGAGTAATTTGCTTGAATGCAGAATTTAGTATATTAAACAAAGGGCGAATTTTATACATTCGATCAGTACCGTCATTGGACTGATTGTCGGCGAGATGAATAAAACTCATAAGTTCATCGAAACGATTTCGTCTCATTGCATTTGAGACTATTGGTGTGTGAACGTCATCGTCTACGGTCCAGTAAAGCCGTCTGCAAGGCAGTGGGTGATATCCCGATAAGAGCATAACCCCAACAAACGTTAAAATTTCTGCCGAAGTAGCGTTAAGGTTGTGTACTAATTTTTGCCCTGCATAAGAATTTGTTTCGCGAACAATGTGCTCTATTGTATCTTGTGTAAAATAACACCTAAATGCGTCAATCGGGCTCTTAATTGTTTCTTTCAAAAGATCCTCTACATTAGGACGGTATTCGACATCTGGTTCAGGAACCTTTGAAGTAAATTCAAAAATATTTGATTTCCATGTAGTTGAATTTAAACGTGGCCGTTTGGCAGATTTAGGACATTTGGCAGCAGATGGTTGAGAAATACGAATCTGCCGAGAGGTACTCGGTTGGGAAACATTTTCGGTATCATCAGCAGCTTCAATTTCATGACTGTACTTCACACTTACTTGAGAGCGCAGGATACGAGCTGGAAGATGGTTGGTATCGCCAGCCACTTCTTCATCCGAGAAATCGGAATCCTTGTCTGTGTCTGCGTCTGGAGGTTCTTCAGGTGGACAAATCGATATATACTCAGGCATTTCATTATCTTCTTTGAGAGCTTCAAGAAGTTCGTGAAAAAGTAACCCCTTGCCACCTCTTCCTCGTACATACCTGAAAATATCACATGATAATCCATATTCCCAGTGGCAACTCAAGTTGCCATGCATTTTTACATATGTATATTGAAAAAAGTAAATGACTGACGAATAACAATTATTGTTAAAAATGACGATAAAAGCTTTCTATTGAAGACAATAAATCATTTGTTTGAAAAAATACATTTATATATTTGTATACTTACATAGAACTGTCGGCGGCCATGAATATAATTATACACGTACAACACCACTATGCACACTATCGATACTAACTAATTGAATGATAGATACAAACTGTTCTTCTTCTTCTTCTTCATGTACCATGTCCTTTCAGAACGTTGGTTACCATCATAGCTATTTTAATTTTATTCACTGCCACCCTAAATAGCATGCTTGTATCTACACCATACCAGTCTCGCAAGTTCTTCAACCATGAGGTTCTTGCAAACTGTTGCTTTGCGGAATTTGTTAGCCGATAACCTCTTCCATCTAATTTAACTGCACTCTGCGAATAAGATTGTCGGAGAGGGGAGAGGGAGACATTCATAGGCGTGGCAACTGTAGTTGCCAACGGGCATGAATGGGTTAAGAGTTTAGACGAAAGATGAAATAAAAATAAAAACAGATTACCTCCTTGTCCTAACCATGATTTAAAATGAAAATCAGAAAAGGAAATCCTCAGCTAATTAAAAATAAAATAAAAATATCAAGTAAGACCCTTCATACAGTATGGAAACTACTTATGGAATAAAATTGTTTGTGTCCTTATTTTAGAAAATAATTAAAAATAAATGAGATACCTTGACTTTTCAATTTAAATGTGCGCTTTTTAAACATAAATTTGAATGTACATGGTGATCCACGCAGGTCTGGAATAGTCCATAATCTGTATTTTAAATAAAACACCCTATATATATTTTATGATTTTAAAATATCCTTAACAACTTGATCTCAACGAACTATTTTATGTAGGGTCTAATATGAATAATACAAGGTGAAATTCTGAAATTAAGTATAATTATCTTCAAGACAATTAATTCATAGATTACCCGAGGTAATTGATGAGATTACTTGAGAATAAATGCTCAAAATGTTCTCCACCTTGTTGTTGGCAATAACACAGTCTCCTATAAAACTCGTCCCGAATTTTGTTTAAAGTTTGAGGTGAAATATTCTGTATTTCTGTAGTTATCCTTTCTTTGAGGTCTTCAATGTTAGTTGGTTGTTTTGAATATACTTTGTTCTTGAGATGCCCCCACAGAATAAGACTCAAAGACGTAAGATCTGGCGACCTAACTGGCCACTCAATAGTACCCCTTAGTCCAATCCATTTATTGAAGAAGATTTCATTCAAGGAATTTCTCACCATTAAAGCATAATAGCCAACTGAGGAAGAACATCGTCTCTTAGCATGTTTAAATATTTTTCCGCTGTCAAATTACCATCTACAAATATAGGACCTAAAATATGATCTCCTATAATACTTGCCAAACATTCAACTTTTGAGGATACTGAGTGTGTGTCTCACGCATTTAATAAGGATTCTCCGCTGACTATCTACAGTTTTGTCGGTTTACCTCTCCGTTCAATATAAATGTTGACTTATCAGAAAAAGTTCTGATAAAAAAAACATTCTATGATCTGCATCGTCATCTATTAGCTCCTGCACAAAAGTCAATTTATATGGATATGGAAGTTTTTCTTCATGGAGACACCTTAGGACAGTTGTGTTACTAACAATATTTGACGTGAACTTGACGTTGGATTCCCTGCGACACTGAACAAAATATCCACTTTCACCTCATCTATAATGAAGTTCGGATTTCTTTTTAATGGTTTGACATGTCCAAGTTATCTGAATTGTGCATAAATTTTAGAGTAGCTTGTGAAATATTAGGCAACTGAGGATACCTCTGATTAAATAAGTTTGCTAATTCAACTTGACTTCTACAATTCTCCCCGTAACCGATCATCATTAAAATATCAATTCAGTGGGTCTCAGTTAAATGTTTCATTTTTATTTCTGCAAGACATTAGCTTTTAATTAGGAATTTATTATTATAATGTAAAATGTCAAAACATCAACAACTGCTTGATAACAATCTGCATTATTTACCGATTTAGTTTAATTAGCAGACTATCTAGACAGTTTTTACCTATTCATAACAAAAAATGTTAACACGTTTACTAAACAAAAATTTTCCCCAATCTACTGACGCTTGGAGTAGAAGTGTATTGTCTCTATTTAGCTAATTTAAAATAATACCATAACACGTGATAAATTATTAATTTCAAAATTTCACCTTATATTATTCATTATAGACCCTTATAGTTCGTTGCAATTAGGTTGTTAAGAATCTTTTAAAAAGATGAAAATATACAGGGTGTTTCAATAAAAATAAGGATTATGGACTACGTCAGACTTGCGTGGATCATTATGTACATTTAAATTTATATCTAAAAAGCGCACATTTAAACTTAAAAGTTAACGTGTCCCAGAGTTTTTTATTATTTTCTACAATAAGGACACAAACAATTTTATTCCATAAGTGTGTAATAAGTGTTTCCACACTGTATAATGACATCAAAGACTCTATGAACAATAAAAGAGTAGTAGAAACATTAAAACCCAAAGAGTAATAATTAAAGAAAGACTGTATGGCATACAACATATTCAGTCTTACGAAAAAGACGAAATCTCAAGGTCAACATAAAGGATGCATGAGAACGCATCATTTATTTTGCAAAAATATACAAGAGACAAAAGAGATACGGCTACAGGAATCTTCCAAAAAAATTAACCACCTCTAAAACATTCATGACGAGTTTAATTTACACAGAAAATCCAAAGTCAAAAAAAAAAGTAAAAAATGTATATAGGAGTAGAAATGTATCGACGCCTTGCAAGGACTAGTGAATAATGGACTAAGAACTAATGTGTAATATACTACTAATATTTTTAACTATACTTACATGAACTCGTGATCTTAATTTGGGACTTATTAAACCTTTTACAATTTCATAAATACGTCTAATAAATGGTGAGATGTGAGTAAGATATATCAGTCTATGCCTCATTGGAAAAGATTGCTAAAAATTAAAATATTATTAATAATGCACTACAGTAAAAAATACTGCATAATATAGTTGAATATAAGAAACTTTTTCACTCATCTATTTTAAAAAAAGAGCACAATGTTGGTATCCACCTGTAAGTAAATTGGACTTTAAACTATTATGAAATATCTTATACAGAAGTCCAAAAACTTCACAGTATTTATGTATAAAACATATAGTTAAAACTTTTTAAAAAGTGTCGTCAAATTTATACAGTAGCATAACTTGACGTTTTCGATATAATCAGATCATCTTCAGTGCCTTCTTATTTAATTGAAGCTAACACTAAATTTGTAGCTGTGACATCCATATATGGTTTTACATTATTCCAAATTTAAGTTATACTGTGATTATAGGTCGCTGACATTGGATAAAAATTAATACTTAAAGAACAACATGTCTCCTTGCTCGACTTGAACACGTGGTTCTTGTCAGTTAAAACGACACAGACCACTGCTGCACAGCGAATGACACCATCTTTAATAAATCTGTACAAGTAGCTGGATATGCAGATGACATAGATAGTATTGCTAGGTTCACAGAATATCTGATCGAAGCATTTCGATCATTAAGGGCGTCTGCACTGAGATTGGGATTTAAAATAAACGCACAGAAAACCAAGTATATGTATTGTACTAGATCAGGCAAGCAGATACCTAGACTATTAATTGACGGTCTAGAACTAGAAGGTGATTGCTAATAAGTGCTATATGAAAAGGACCAATGAGAAGACGAGCCAGAGGAAGGCCAAAACTTAGGTACCAAGATAATACAGGGGATGATCTTAAATCCATCGGAGTTAAAACATGGAGAAGAATTGCTAGAGGCAAGGGCGAATGGAAGATTGTTCTGAAGACGGCTTTGGCTCATAACGAGCTGTAATGCCACGGATGATGATGAATTAATGGTTGTGATTTGTGATATACGTATTTTTCCAGAGTCAAAATGAACAGTACAGAGGAGAGAAGGTCCCCCTGGCGCAGCCCGTTATTTGTTTTAAATGGTTCAGGCAGTTCCCCCTTAATTCGTACACTACATTCAAGTTTTTCAAGAGTTAGTTTTGTTTAATTTACCAACTTTTGCAATCTGAGGAACCGTCGATTCACCACCTCTGAAAGCAGCCTGGTTTTTTCCTACTATCCGTTCTGCATGTGGTGCCATACGGTTACATAGTGCTGCAGAATATATTTTATACGCTGCATTTAGAAGCGTAATTCCTCTGTGGTAAGAGCATTCAAAGATATCTCACTTTTTTGTATATAAATGAGATATCTCATTTTTTTGTGACAAAGTATTTCAATATTCCAATCATTGAGGAGGGATATCTGTGTCCATATTTCTTTTATAAGCTGCTGTAATGCCATTATGGTATCATGGCCACCTTCTTTATATAGTTCAGCTGGGAGATTATCTATTACGGGTCATTTATTTTTGGTTTGTTTTTTAACTGCATCTTTAACTTTAAGAATCGTTGGTAACTCCTCTTCTCTCTCGTCAGTTCCCCTTACCTCATCTCTTTCGTCTTTCAGGTTTTCTTCTTCCTCCTTTATATTAAGTGCACTGGTAATGGAGTTTGACAAGAGCTATGAGTCATGCCGATTTAATACACAAGTTTACCTGTTATTTACAAGGTCACAGCTCTTGTAAAAATCCATTAGCTATAATACATCTTGCCTTGTTGTTAATAGGTCATTCTGACTTCTGCAGTGTCTTATGGTTGCCTTGAATTATTTTCTCTTGGTGTTAACTTTCTCTTAACTATGTTTGGAGTATTCTATAGTTAAATTCTGGAAAAACTAAACTATTTAATGTGAAAATTAAAATGAAAAACAAAATTACAGAGACAGCTGAATTACCTGAAAAGTAGGAGAAGAACAAGAAAATGATTTGATAAAGAATACCAAAAACTATCTAAAAACAGACAGGAACTGCGAAACATTTTAATCCGACAAAAAAACAGCAGAAAGAAAAGAAAACCATACAACATCACTACGAGAAACCAGAAAACGAATTAGAGAGAAGAAAGGAAATATTAACGACAGCAATATGGGGAAACTAACTAATAGACAAGAGTCTAGCAGTCAAAAGGATTCAAAAGTTTACTAAAAATACATTAAGAGGAAGAACATGGAGAGAAGATATATCTTAGGGTCGACCTACCGGTAGAGGATCCAAAGATAGTCTCCTCTCCTCTTTTAATATAGTTCTGGAAAAAGCAGTATGAACAGCAGAAATTATAACAAAACTATAGACAGTAAATAGAACTACTATTGGCATACGCTGCCGATATTGATATTGTTGGAAACGCTGTTACATTTTGGAAGACATTTTGATTCATAGGTATGCAGTTTTGGTGGTATAAAGATAGTTGGATACTGCTATCACTTGATCTAAATTCTTGTTCATTTGAAACGCCTAGAACATTGTCAAGTACAAGTAAAGCTTTAATGATCAAGTTTGTTTTTTTTTATAACCCTATTTACTTCTGACACAATGACTTTATGGAACCAACACATGATCACAACATAAATGTGATTCTATCTTTACTAACTTTACACGGGTGGCGCGGGCGGAAATTGTCGGATTATTGGAAGTGTCGCTTTATTTAACTGTCAGAGTAATCAGATTCTACTTATGTTTAGAAACTTTTAAGCACACGAAGACTTTCAATGTTTCAAGTAATATTTCACAATAGGTTTCATCCAAATGCATACACTGACGTAGGTAGAATGTTCAAAATTGTTAATGATCACAAAAAAGAAAAAATATGTATTTAAACCTAATTATTCTTATTACTTTTGCTACTAGCTTATTACTTTACTTTTTTTGTTTTATTTTGTATATCATAGAGATAGTTGCTTACCTCGCCCCATTTGATCAAATAACCAAATTCATTTGCAGTAAACAACGGTACATACGAAGCTCCAGCTCCTTGTGCACATACAACATGTGTAACACCCATAACTTGGGTTTCTTCATTGTCTACTAGAGCCTCAAAAGTAATTGCGTCGGCTCTTTGCACATCTAAACTTGACATTTTTTGAAGATCTACCAGTCCTATAAACAATATAAGTAATAAAAGATTTGACTAACTAATATAAAAGCAAAACCCTTATACAGCATAAACTAAAACATTTAAAAACAAATGGATAGCGTATATAGTGCAAAAGTTATTTCTATATACAAGCAACAGAGTGATATTTGTTCTTCACGAATACCTGAGGCGTTCAGTTTATGTTGAAAATTGTTACAAATAATTATTATTATGTGAAAAGACAGCAAATATTTAATTTCACGCAAACAGCGCCTTTGTATCTATTGATACGTATTTCGACCTAATAGGTCTCATCAGAACATTTATTCAAAGGTTCTCAACGTGAAAGATCAATATTTTCTGTCTTTTAAGAAGCAACACTAAAATGGCTTCAATACGGACGCAATAGCGACATCTGACAATAAAACCGTAAAATAGTTTCGAAACACAATTCAGATTTCTGCTTTAATCTGTGCTTTCTAAAAATTGCAAAGCAAAACAGACGTTGATAAAGGTGTTAAAAGAGACGTGGGGAATCTAAAATTTGCATTCCACGACCCGTCTATTCAACTAAGCAGAAATCCTTAGCGAATTGGTTTCTAGTACTCGTACAGAGTAGATCCGAATAAAGTGAAAAGAGAGCAAATATTTGATTTCACGCAAACAGCGCCTTTGTATCTGTTGATACGTATTTCGACCTAATAGGTCTCATCAGAACAGTTATTCAAAGGTGGTCTCAACGTGAAAGATCAATATTTTCTGTCTTTTAAAAAGCAACACTAAAATGGCTTCAATACGGATGCAATACCGACATCTGACAATAAAACCGTAAAATAGTTTCAAAACACAATTCAGAATTCAGTTTTTTAACACCTTTATCAACGTCTGTTTTGCTTTGCAATTTTTAGAAAGCACAGATTAAAGCAGAAATCTGAATTGTGGTTCGAAACTATTTTACGGAATTATTATTATGTATTAAATTAATTTTACACATAAAGGTCACCATAGAAGTTTCCAGGAAATCCAAACTAATTTCGCATTGCACACGATATCAGAAGTACGGAAATACACAGAATTATTGTTGAAAAGTGTCAGAGGAAAACATTTTAGAAAAGATTGTGTAAAAAAGATACAAGATACAGAAGCTAAATATATATAACACTGTGTGGTGGCCACCCAGCTAATTACACATATTTTACTATTGATATAGCTCTTCAAAAGCTACGAAACAATTCATATAAATAAGACAATATAAATCACGAAGCAAATAATACAATATTAACATTATTTACTACAATAAGTTTATTAAAGCTAGTAAATTAAAGAAGATCTTAAATACTTACTAAAATTATAAAAAATGACTCTTCTGCCATCTCTATCTCTAAAAGGACTAACAACTATGTATCTGGAATAAAGAAAAATTGTTTTTTTTAATTTATTTTAGCGTTTTTGTATTGGTTAATATTGTTTTGAGAAGTGCTATGTAACTAAAACAGGGTCAAATATAGCAGGAGATAACGACATACTTCGATCCATTCAGAAGTTGTTGTTCTTTTAGTAACAAAAGTTCGTAGATATTTCGATTGCACATTATTCACCAATTTTTATATGAACAATATGAGTTTTGCGTAAAAACGCTTTCTTCAATTTTAATGGAGCGAAAATAATAAAAAATATTTCGTCGAAGTTTTCCTATTAAAAGTAAAACAACTTCTTGATGAGAGAGAGAAAGAGGGAGAGAGAGATATATATATATTGGGAGCTTCGTAAATGGTTAATACTATAGAATTTTTATTTAAATGTTTGTGCTTCAGTAAAACTATGACTAGTACTCGCCTTACTCTCGACATAGTAGTAAGCTGAAAACCAACTGAAAGACACAAAGACTGTCAACCTACTAATGGTTTCAACTACGAAGTATACAGAAAATTGAAAATAAATTTGTTTTTCCCAAGTATGTGTGGGCCACTAAAAGTCTTAGTAAGTCAAAACTTGTAGCGGCTGTACCTTAGTGTTTATGTTACTAGCTTACTAAATCGGACGGCGCGGGTTCAATCCAGCACAAAAAGTAGATTTCTTTTTAATTTTTAGGTTGACTGAGCATGTTAAGGCGGGCACGTAAAGCCGTGAGTTCTGGCTACGTACGTAGTCGTTACACTACTGCATTCATACTGCAGCCAACTGGCTGCAGTATAACCGGTTATTACAACGAACGGCTTCCGAGATACAAAGTCAAAATTTTCGACTAATCAAAGGTTAGCTGGTATCTTTGGTCAAACCCACACATGATCACTGTTTCAATCAATGGTCAGAATAAATTGTCCTTTTGGTAAATTTTGAAAACATCTGCCTTATGTCGCATCAATTTTAATTTTTAAAATGTAATCCAAAGGTGTTTACACCTTTCAAAGTGGCTATTTGCGAATGCTAAAGTTTGACCAATGACGGTCTGATAAGACCAAAAATGTTGTGATGAAAATTGTAATCATTTTAGATATTTTCATTATTTTAGCAATTTTATTAATATTTAACTTACACCAGAAGTATTTATTTCATCTAAGTTTGTTACATAGTCAAAATTTGACTTAGAAATCTTTTTGACCAAAAATATTTATTGTACCTAAATTATTCAAAAGCAGCAGACAACCCATCGCACCTCCGCTATAAAAGAGTCACAACTCAAAAATCGCCATTATTGAGATAAAAATGCTACAAGTTTTGTAAAAAGTCGTACTTTCTTCTATACAGCGTCACTCTTCTGCTACAGTGCCACTTTTTACTATCTGATTGTTGCAATAAGTAAAATACTGTTCTTTTTTGTTTTGTAACAGTTTTTTCAAAGTTGTAAACGAGAAAAGTACTTTTGCGTTGTACCGAGTAGTGTTACATGTTGAGTTAAGCCAGTTTTTTTTTAATGTGTAAGTATACTTTTCACCTATTTTTGGAATATGACTGTTTTGGAGAACCGGCACATACGATTTTCAAATTCACTGACGGTGGACTTTTAATTATGACGCTTTTTGAGAATTATTGACTGTTATTTTCTTGTTTATGACTGTGTGTTATCCTTCCTAGTTTTCATTTATTACTATTTTTGTTGCAGCAAACTGGCTAGTTCTATAGCATTCAAAGTTCATCGAGTTCAAAGACTTACAGAATTATGGCACTTGCAAAGGAAATAAAATCAAAGCATTATACACCAGATCAGGTGCGAAGCTCAGGTAATCTGATATTAAATAATAAAAAAATAGCGTTCTTGAATAACAGTTTTTATTTTAGCTATAATAATGTTTCTTCTTTTTCAGAAATCTGAGAAAGACATCTTTTAGAAGAGGAAAATGCTGCACTTGTTACTTCTGATAATGCAAACTATGATATAGCTACCGATAACAACAATAATAAGCCTGTTACATCATTATTACGGGTTAACCTTTCACCAAAACTGAAAGACGACCTCAAAATCTCAGACTTCGCAAGCGATAATGATGATGATTCCATAAAAGATCCAAATTATGAAATAGATTCTAGTAGCTCCTCGTAGTATCCTCCTCTTCTACCAGACATTGAAATTGCAGACACTCGAGCAGCAAACTTACAAGCATCAGGACCTGAAGTACCAGATACATACTAGCAAATACCCAACCAGCAGACATTAAAATTGACAGCCTTAAAAAAAAGAGGGAAAAAGTGAGTAGCAGCGGCAGAAAACTGGTTAAGTAACAAAGCCAAGTAATTCCAACATTCTGGCCAAGCATATGCCTTATGATCTAAATTACACAAACCTATTGTTGCCAAGATTCGCAGACCTGTTTATGGAGATAAATGCCTTCTGACATATGCAATAAAATGGATAAAATATCAGGAAAGATATTTTTTTAAAAATTTGGCCCTGGAAAATATAAATAGACAGAGAAATTTCATTCTCAAATTCATGAAACCAGTCAAACCAGCGTACACTTACAGCAATGCAGAGAGACTTAGACAACCTTAAGCGATATATTCTACATCTTAATTAATATACAGTTATTTCATCATACACACCTTACAAAATGATAAAGTATGGTTATCGTTAAGTACCAATAAAAGTAAAACAATTACTAAGGTTAATACTTACCCAGCGTCAATTAATTCACTGGTTTTTTCTTCTTTATAATCCAAATTACACAACACATGACTGAATTTTTGCCTAAAGTTAAGGTATTTTAAAAGAGTCTGTTGTGCCATTGGAAGACTGTGTTTTTTGACCCGAAGAAACCTTAACAGGAAACTATCATCTAAAAATTAAAATTGTTACCCCTTGAGCCTACAAACTAAAAACTATTAATTAACAGTACGTACCTAATATACAGTTTTGAATATCTCGGTTTTGTTGAATCCAATTTCTAAATTGAACTAAACTCTCTTCTTTAACACTATCTGTTTCTCGTAAACTATGTTTTGTCTTCTCAAATTTTTCACTTGATAATAAATTTTCTTTATCCAAAGCAATTTCCTTTTTTCGAGCTATGTAATCAAGTGTATCCCATATACCCGACATTTTAGTTAATTCTAGTACTAAAACAAATAAATATGCTAATAAGATAAGTATAAATATTGATAAAATAATATCTAGAGAAACCCGTGCCACTCTAAAGTTGTAAGGAGGAGAGTAAATCGGATATCTCTAGTACTCCGTGGAAAGCATACTGGGTGAAAATCTTCTAAACCCACATATTGTGCGCCCCAATCGGTAATATAGAATGTGTTATGGATATAAAATAAGGGCACGAACATACGAGTAACAACTCAACATAACAAAGAGGCTACTTCTATGTAGGTATCGTGGGCTTCAAATTGATGGCAATTACCACAATTAAAGTCCTACAAGCAGTATCAAATGCCTTTTAATAATCAATTGAGTAAGTGAAGACATCTTGTAGCATAATGTTTTTCTTTAAAGATTGAATATTAAATATATAAAAATTTATTTGATACACCCCTGACTGATGCTGTTTCTTCTAAATGTTTTGGCCGAATCATCAGAAAACAAATATTTGACCTCACCTAATTGCGTCTTAATTTCAATAAGTTCCCACAAAAATTTGAAGACCCAGCACTTTTACGGTTCAATTTCACGTCCAAAGCTTCGCAGAATAGAGATCCGATTGGCCACGATTGTAGATCTAGTACGACAATATTTGGTTTTGACACAAGTCATAAGAGAGCTGGCGGTCCGTGAGAGGCAGTCAGAGAAAAAGGGCAATGGCAGCGACTGAGAAGTAAGGTTCGTTTTCGTAAAGTTTTGAAAAACTGTCAAAGCCGGCAAATTCACTTAATTCCATGAGTTTTAGTGAGAAGAAGGTGATTCGAGTTTAAAATGCCATGTGGCAATCTTTGTAAAGTGAGTTATAAACCATTTTATTGTAAGCTCTATCCTGTGACAAGGGAATTGATCACAGAGTCCTGAGGGCTAAGTAAACAGAAAGAGTAGGAAGTAGCAAGAAAAAGATAACACAAGGTCAACCAAACCCTATAAGAAAGAGTCACGCTCTACAACTACCTTGGTACCATAATAAATAAAGAATGGAAAAATAACTCTTCTCTGTCCTTTTTGTAGTGTTGAATCGTGGACTTTGAACGAAGTTAGTGCAGAAGACTAGAAATATTTTAGATGTGGCTATATCAGAGAATACTTAAGATCCCGTGGACTGGCTGAGGCACAAATGATGAGGTCCTCAGAAGAATGAAGAAGGACAGAGAAGTACTAACCAACATAAAATCTTGAAAGTTATAATACTTCGGACACAGTATGTGAAATTAATTATAATATGCCCTCCTACATGTCATCCTGCAAGGAAGAATATTTGAAGAGCAAGTTCTAACAAGAAGAGAAACATCCTGGTCTAAGAACCTCAAAATCTGGTTCAACACAACATGTATGCAGCTTTATCGCGCTGTTACAGATAAGATTAACATTGCCATAATGATCGCCAACATTGCTCAAGGATAAGCACATCATGAAGAAGAACATGATAATCCAAATTAAAAGTCCTGTTATCGTGACATGAATTAAAGAAGTATCGGACAACCGCGAAAAAGATGGAGTACCAACCTTCCATAGGAGTATTATTCCGCCAATGAACCAGCAGAATTGCGTATAAAGAGGAAGAAGAATCAGAAAAAGAAAAGTCTTGTTGTTCCTCTGCTATAGTTGTGAAAGTATTTATTTTGTTAACTATCCCTATGGTGGCTAATTTTAGAATTGTGGTGTGCGTGAGAGAGAGGGGAAGAGAATGGATAAAAAATCATTTGCCACCGAAAAATTTAGAATTGTTGTTATATGAATTATGCTTATAATTGGAAGGTGTGTGCTTATCTCTTTTTATAACAATGGATACTGCTATACTTAATCTACAGCTATTTATGACTTTATTACGTTTTTAATTAGTTATAAAATATTAATTAAAATCATGAATCTTGTGATTTCGTATATCAATGCCATACTTTCATATTGTAGGAGTTCATAAGATTTTTTATTTGGTTATGGTGACTTGCTGTCTTTTTTTTTTAATTTTCTTTTCACTTTAATCTCTTGTACCACGAATAAATCTATGTGTATTTTCGTTAAGGTATTCTATAAGTTGTAGCTTGTTAAGTATCTAGTTCCTATTATATGTGTTGAAATAATTGTACCAAGAATACATCTATTTTTACGGAAAACTTTTAATAGTGATTGATAGAATCATAATAAATATAAATGAATATATTTTTATTCTTGGAAATTTTAAAAACAATATACTACACATTAAATGTTTAAAATTTCCTCTCAGGGATTTTACAGACGTTTTCCACTCAAATAGGTCTTCAGATTTTTTTTGCGATACATAGTAAGCGTAGAAAACTCATGGTAGAGGATAAAATTCATAGCAAAAGACACATACAGTGGCTCATTCTACACGGGACGTGCTAGAGGTGTTTTTAGAACAAGGGAAAGAAGCAGGTAATCTTGGTCTTTAAATATATGAAGAAAAGAAGAAATAAATAGTAGTAACCAAAAATCAAAGGCCTATAATTGGACAGAACATAACTCTTTATGGTCACAACTTCGAAATGATAAAGGAGTAATAGTTAATTAGTTAAATAATGGGCGAAATATATAAGTATCTCGGCGAAATATATAAGTTGCTGGAGGCCGCAATCACAGATGACAATCCAGAAAAAGACATATCAGCAAGAATAATTACTAAAAAGAGCATTAAACTCTTATTTAACATTATTGCGATAATGTTGAAAGACATCTCTGTTAAAAAGAGAGAGACTCCTGTGTTGAAAACACAATCTAAAATAATACTGTACTAGTCAAATATTCGCGCAGTTTTTACTTATGACAGTGAAACCTCACAAGCAAGAGAAAATAAATAAGCTGCTGATATCTGAAAATAAGCAAAAAACACTGGAATAGAAGAGAAACGGTAAAAGCTATAAAAGAGCTAGAAACACCAAATCAGTTGGTAAATTTACCAAAGGTAAATTTTGAAAAAGTTGAATGTAGAGTACGAATTCAGAGGTTCAATAATGCTACACATAATCAATAAAAGACTGAAATCTTTTCTTCGAAGAGAAATACCCCAAGAGCAAATTAGATTTACCAAAGGTAAAGGTACTCGAGAACACCTTATGAAAATAAAAAAAAATAATAAAAGAATCTAGGGAATTCAATATCCCACAATATTAACTATTATTGTTAAATGGCAACACTTATGGCAGATACTAAAAGAAGTAGGAGTACCACAACACTTAATTACGTTTATACCTTAACTGTAAGACCACACTGCTGAAACATGTATAGTGCTTCATCATTACCACCCAGCCCTTTGCGTCCACTGCTGGACATAGGCCTCCCCCATTTTTGTCCATTGTGCTCTGTCTTGAGCATTTTTCATCCAATTTCTTGACATGTTCTTGACATCGTCGGTCCATATAGTGCTTAGTACTCCCAAATGATTCCAACCAGAACAATGTGTCAGATAATGATGTATACTGTCTCCACAATTATTAATTATGTACGGAAGCATATTATGAAAAGAGCGCTCTAACGATGGGAAAAGGGTATCTCAATAAATGGCCGAAAAATAAACAATATATGCTTTGCAGATAACACAGCCCAACTCTCCTTCAAATAGTCAAGAAGAGTTAAACGATCTCATACGAGTGGATGAAAACGAAAGTCAAATATTTGGTGTGCAGATAAACATATCAAAGACAAAGATCATGATAGTGGATAGACTACACAACAATCATCCACACATAATCACGATTGACTGGTTTGAGGTTGGGAGCTCATATTTATATCTGGGATCATTAATCACAAACACAATGTCACTACAGGAAGAAATAAAACGTGAATGTGATCTAGCAAAAGTCGTTATAGGAAAGATGGTCAAAATATGGAAGGACTCTTAAATTTCACGAACTCTAAAAATGAGGTTGATCAACTGCTTAATTTTTCCAATACTGACATACAGATGTAAATTTTTGACCACACGACAAGTAGAAAAAAGAAAGATAGAGGCCATTGAAATGTTCTATTAGAGAAGAATGTTATGAATTTTGTGAAATGACCACAAAATAAATAATTCAATTTTAAATGAGCTAAAGATCAGCGATGAGCTAAAGATTACTTAAAAGCAAAACACTGACTAAAAAAAGTAAGATGAGCATTTATAACACCATAATTAGACCAATATTAATATATGCAGGAGAAACAATGACGATAGTTAAAAAATATGAAGAAGACTTAAAAATAGCAGAGAGAAAGATTATGAGAACCATACTAGGACCAATCAGAACAGAGCAAAATGAATATGGAAGCAGAACAAATGCAGAAATTAAGGAAGAACTTAAGGAAGACATCGTAACTAAAATAAAACAATGCAGAGTTAGATGGTTAGGTCACATTTGGCGAGCAGGCGATGAGAGAGTGACATACGCAATGATAGAACGGAATCCAGGAGGAAGAAAGAGAAGCGGAAGACCGAGATCAAACTGGCTGCATGAAGTTGAAAAAGACCTCCAAAGGGCAGGAGTCAGAGAATTGATAGGAAGAACTAGAGACAGGAAACAATGGAGAGATATTGTCAAGAAGATAAGATAAACAAAAAAGACTGATCCCCTTAAGAAATAGGATCTAGAAAGCATTTGCGGTTTAACCCCACACTGGGGTGTATAGCCATTAATTAAAATACTTTGGACATGTTATGGGAGCAGGCACAGAAAACATGGAAAGACTTCTTATTCAAGGAAAGGCGAAAGGCCGAACGAGGAAGATCTCCAACAAGATGGATTGTCCAAATTACAGGAATATGCATAAGGCATAATACGCATGGTTAAAAAAATGTCCAGAGACAGAGATCTTTGGAGAGAGATAATACACGACATCACGATGATCACTCCCTCCAGGGGCTCAGGACTAAAGAGAAAGATTGGCTGAAAGTTTAATACATTAGGGACAGTATGCTTATATATAGAAGGTTTTTCCACAAATCGGCAATGGACCATATTGTACAGGAGGTAAAGTCAAGACGAAAGTCGTAAAATCAAGACATGATGTTTGATGTATTTCTCGATATGAAGGGTGTATTAGACAACATCTACCTCG